TATCATTCTACGGCGCAACAGCAACCTCCTCAGATACCGGCAGAGGCTCGTCTGGAGACCGACGGCAAGCGATCCGATGCCTATGCGGACACGATGGAGAGCAAAGTTGGCACGTTCGACCAAAAGCCCAATTTTGGCAACGACATTCTTAAACCCATCGACGAGAATAAAACCGAATTTCCGCGGCAGCACGGCAAGAACTTCTTTGACGAACGACCGCGGCACTTTGAGCAGGCTCAGCCGCCGGAGAATATTTTCCCCGGCGGAGAAGCGCGAAAGATCAAGCCGGAGGATTCGCAGCAGCTGGATCGCAGTGGCGGCAGGAATTGTAATTTCGATAGCGGCAGGAGTTACGAAGATCGTTCAAAGAGTATCGTGCCCAGTCAGGATGTGTCGCCTCTGCAACTCTCGGATCAGAAGAAGCTGGACTTTTCGCGGGGTGGCCCCTTTCTGCCCGGAATGCCGGGCAGAGGATGCGAGAGCGTGCTTCAGGGAGTAAAGGGCTTCGCTTTGCCCGGCGCTATGTCCGGTCCGGCGGAATTTCTTCCTGGACCGTTGTGGTATCCGCCGTATCCGATGCCGCAGTCTTATCCCGGCATCGATCCCCTGCACTTCTTCATAGACTTACGCGTCTCTGGTCACATTTGGGATCGTAAACACGCGAACGAGCGACAACTGCCTTTCAAGAGTAAGCACTGCTCGGCCTTTAGCGTGCCGCAATCCAAGGAATGCGGTAATCGACCGTTGAATCTTACCCGCGACGAGGCCACGACGTCAAAAAATCCAGACGCGGAAAACACACGAGGTACCAATTATATTCTGAAACATCTCATGAAAACGTATCAAGACATACAACAGACAAAGATCTCCAGGACGGACGCGTCGATGGAGAACGAAGAGAATTCGAGGGAAGCGCAGCAAGGTAGGATATATCACCTTTGTATTTGCAGTTTTTTTGCGACCTTTTTCTATTTCCAACTATTATGTTCATTCCAACTGTTCTGTTTCTTTTTCCATTTTTCTGCTTAGGATCGAGATTATATGTTCTGTTCGTGACGTGTTTGTGACGTGTCCAAAATATTTTCGGAAAGATGAAAATGTCATTATTTCTATTGGCGATTATTTCCAAAGCTTCTCATCTTTTACGCTGTTATTTACATTATGATACATTAAAAAGTGCACTCTTCTTTGATATTTTCTCTTATTTGATACTGAAGTAATCGTCGAACGTTATCTTCGCCATTTTAAAGAGACGTGTATGCTCGCGTAATAAAACGTTCGTAATAATCATGGTTTTTCAAGTTGGCGAGGACATCGCAAAAGTAGAAGACAACGCTAGTACGGTGACAAATTCTGAAGAAGAGAGAAAGGATTTGCGAGCTCTGATCGGTCTCGAATTAGTGGTAGACTACGTGAAGGAACCAAAGGATGACCCATCGATCGAGCAAACGTCGCAAGTAACGGAATAATTTGTCTATAACGAACGCGATTTGCAAAGGAATGCGCGATTTGCAAGGGATTCCCCCCCCCCTCTCCTCCTCCCCGTAAAAAGACAGTCCTTCCATTTTAATCGCTAAAATAGTCGTGTAAAATAGTAGCGTTGTTATTCGCATTCTCTCGTGCAAGACCTCCGAAACTGCACTCGCGTTGATACTCTTCGCCACATATAGTATCTCGGACATATAGGACTATGCACTGCAAGACTGGACTTCTTTTTGCACGCACGCAGCGAGTACATACATATTTCCATACGATTTGAAAAGTATTTGCTTTAGATACTGTGTTTTTGGGGAAATTTCTTTCTTTCCGTTTTTCATCCTTGATTTTCTCGCGTATACTTGCGAGAATATAGATTTGCGATTTATTACGATTTATTGAAGACACACTTATAAAATTTTATCGCGCTTACATTTTTCTGAGACATTTTTCGAGTATAATGCCGATCCACCGCACTTGTAGAACAGTATTGTCTTTCTTGACTTGATTCTGTACATTCCGAGCGATCGAAAAAAGAAGCTACGGATCGTCTTTCGGCGAGAATCAAAGGATCGCATTAAAGATCTTATCGGAGTAAAACATCTCCGACGCGAATTCGACATGTGATATATACTGTAAATATTATAATAATATTCCGATGTATCTATATGTATCGATAGAAAATACTCGTTGTTGTAAGTTGAACGTGAAAATAAAAGCAATGCGATTCAACTGCGTAACGTTCTTATCATCAACTCGCTTCCTTTCGTAGATGAATGAATGTTTAATTTTAACACGTGCGAGTTTACGTGCTGTCGTGATTAGCTATGACGCGAAGTTCCAGGATCACTTCGCCCTTATTGTTGCCGTTCAGCTTCATCAATTTCCGACCTCCTTGCGGAACGAGAATGACGTCGTCGAAGCTGCCTCTTCTGGACGGTTCAGTTAATTTGTAATACGTGACTGGTCGAACCGGGTCTCTGCCCAACTCGACATGCGGCTTTTCCGGGGCGACAAAAGTATATACCTGATAAAGACGACACAGCTATCAACGATTAGCAAATTCACATCCTAATAATACAATAAGATGAAAAAGATTTGACAAACGAAAGGAATATTAATGCACAAGATTTTAACGTAATTCTTTCATTCGCTTTTAAATAAAGTAACTTCCTCGGCTTCTCGGCTTGTAATATTTTTCTGACCTTTCTGACCGGAGATGCGACGTTATCATTCTCGACGGAATCTCCCGCGGAGAAAGCCAGATCCAGATCGCGAGAGGCCTGCTGTTCTACGATCGGATAGATCGCTTCGTTGTTTCGCGCATCGTCTAAATTTTCCAGATAATAAACTTTGCCGTCGATGCAGGTCGTAACGGAGACAGCGACAACGAAGAGAATAGCGTTCTTCATATTTAGACAGCAGTTTGACAGCACTCGAAGATGCGACGCGCAAACGGTCCACGAAGATAATGGAACGAAAGTTTTCAGTGTATCGTGACAGACTTGCCGGACTTGCTAATCCGAGTAAGACGATTATTCGCATTGCCGTGCATAGAAACAATTAATAAAACATGCGTGACGCCTGACGGAATTAAAATGTTCTCTAATGATTTGGGCCGATGACGCGCTTGGCGACGAGCTCTCTCTCTCTCTCTCTCTCTCTCTCTCTCT